CTTGATACAAAAATCAAGTTCGTCCTAGGGGTAATCATCACCAAGGTCGTCCTTAGGGTAACCATCACCAAGGTCGTCCTTGGGGTAACCATCATCACCAAGGTCGTCCTTGGGGTAACCATCATCACCAAGGTCGTCCTTGGGGTATCAATCATCACCAAGGTCGTCCTTGGAGTAACCATCATCACCAAGGTCGTCCTTGGGGTAACCATCATCACCAAGGTCGTCCTTGGGGTATCCATCATCACAAAGGTCGTCCTAGGGGTAACCATCATCACCAAGGTCGTCCTTGGGGTATCCATCATCACAAAGGTCGTCCTTGTGGTATCCATCATCACCAAGGTCGTCCTTGGGGTAACCATCACCAAGGTCGTCCTTGGGGTAACCATCACCAAGGTCGTCCTTGGGGTAACCATCAAGGTCGTCCTTGGGGTGACAATCAAGGTCGTCCTTGGGGTAGCCATCAAGGTCGTCCTTGGGGTAACCATCATGACCAAGGTCGTCCTTGGGGTAACCATCATCACCAAGGTTCTCCTTGGGGTAACAATCATCACCAAAGTCGTCCTTGAGGTGGCCATCAACACCAAGGTCGTCCTTGGGGTAACCATCATCACCAAGGTCGTCCTTGGGGTAACCATCATCACCAAGGTCGTCCTTGGGATAACAATCATCACAAAGGTCGTCTTTGGGGTATCCATCACCAAGGTCGTCCTTGGGTTAACCATCATTACCAAGGTCGTCCTTGGGGTATCCATCATCACAAAGGTCGTCCTTGGGGTATCCATCGTCACAAAGGTCGTCCTTGGGGTAACTACCATCACAAAGGTCGTCCTTAGGGTAACAATCATCACCAAGGTCGTCCTTGGGGTAACCATCATCACCAAGGTTGTCCTTGGGGTAACCATCATCACAAAGGTCGTCCTTGGGGTAACCATCATCACCAAGGTCGTCCTTGGTGTAACCATCATCACCAAGGTCAGTTTTGGAGGAACCATCAACAAGATCGTAATTGGGGTAACCATCATCACCAAGGTCGTCCTTGGGGTAACCATCATCACCAAGGTCGTTCTTGGGGGAACCATCAATAAGGTCGTAATTGGGGTAACCATCATCACCAAGGTCGTCCTTAGGATAACCATCATCACCAAGGTGTATAATGGTCTCTAATTCAATTATATAGAGATCCACTATATTATCTGGAGGTCCAGAGGAAAACTCAGTATCTGTTAACACACTTTATTGTTAAGCAGACACGTAGTAACTCAGATATAATTTGGTAGACGTGGACGTGGCAGATAGGGCGTCGTCGGCTTCCTATGGGAGGCAAGAAGGGGAAGGTGTTGTTCGTATGAGGCCTAGACTCGTTCTGCCTGTTCCTCGAGACACTGGGTCATTCCTCCCTTTGCCTGCCTAGGGGCGTGGTCGCCGGGAGCGGGCCCCTATGGCCTGGAGCTGACCTCTCTCTGCAGCTGCGGGTCATATTCCCCTTGCCCCTGCCCAGGGGGCCGCCCACCTGCATCCTGCTTGGGTCAGGTCAGCAGCAGCTGTTCCTTGAATCTCATAAGGTCGTCCTTGGGGTAACCATCATCACCAAGGTCGTCCTTGGGGTAACCATCATCACCAAGGTCGTCCTTGGGATAACCATCATCACCAAGGTAGTCCTTGGGGTATCCATCATCACCAAAGTCGTCCTTGGGGTAACCATCGTCACCAAGGTCGTTCTGAAGACCGCGCTTATTTCAACGGTATAGACTATATCTGACGAGTTTCTTTCTCCGACGAATTCCGAGCTTTTTTCGACGAGTTTCGGTCTTTCTCCGACGTGATCCGATGAGTTCTGATGTTCCTAGTTCCGCTTTTCCTTCAGCCAGTAGGTAGTTGGGGTAGATGCATCCAATTTTCTCTTCCTGATCGAACATTGCCTTCGATGCGATTGTGATTTACGAAGTTCTAGCTTCGCCCGGGCCTTCGGCTATGGCCCGGCCTGTGTCAGCTTTTTAGGGCTGACTCATTTCGTTCTATGGCACTCGGTGCTTACCGTGGCGGTGGGATTGCCAGCAGGCGCTCCTGCTTACTCCTACGGGGTAAGCGAATCGCAAAGTCTCTTTACCAGCACGGCGGCTGCTGTCGGGGGTCCCTGTCTCAGGAATTGTGTGTGTACACAATTCTCTAAGTAATGTATAAGTGTGGCGTTCGGCTCGCCGCAATGCATGCAACACCTCTCTTCACGGACAATGGTCTCAATTATCTGCCATTTACAGTGGTAACCTAGGCGCATTCTGTGGAGAATGACATCGGTTTGTCTGTTTTTTAACTCAGAGAGTGCTAGAGGTTCATAGCCCGTTGCTTCTGAATACCATCTGGCCGAGGGGGAGGATCTCGTTGCCTCTCTGTGAAGCTGCAGGAGGAAGGAGTTGGCGACACCAGTACTCTTCTTCCGAAGTAAACTACGGCTAGGTGCAATGATCATGGGACTAGGGGGCATACCCCTGCCAGAGAC